CCCTTATCTCTTGCTGCTTCTACAATACTCTCCTTCATTTTTACCTTGGCTAATGTAATTATGATGTGCCTTGGTGTGTTTCTTCTTGGATCCAACTTCTTTGGGACTCTCTGAGCTTCCTGGACTTCCTGGAAGTCTGTTTCCTTTGCCAGATTGGGGAAGTTCTTCTTTATTATTTGTTCAAATACGTGTTCAATCTGTTGCTCTAACTCTTCTCCTTCTGGTACCCCTATAATTCTGATGTTGGAACATTTAAAGATGTCCTGGAGGTTCCTAAGCTTCTCCACATTTTTTTGAATTCTTATTTCTCCATTCTTTCCTGTTTGGTTATTTCTTTCTTCCTTCTGGTCCACTCTATTGTTTTGAGTCCCAGTTTCCTTCCCATCATTATTGGTTTCCTGTGCATTTTTCTTCATTTCTTTTATGGTAACCTGCATATGTTCATCTAATTTGCGACCAAAATCAACCAATTCTGTGAGCTTCCTGATCACCAGTGTTTTGAACTGTGCATCTGATAGGTTAGCTATCTCTTAGTCACTCAAAAGGATGAGTTCTGGGGCACTGATTTGTGCTTCTGTTTGAGCCATCTCTCTCTCTCTCTCTCTCTCTCTCTCTCTCTCTCTTTTGGTCTGGTCGCTCCTGTTACAGTGAGGGGCAGAGCCTTAGGTGTTCATCAGGGCTGGGCACCCCAGTCACTAGATTGTGACGTTGTATGTGGGGGCGGGGTTGAGAGGGAACAATGGCGGTAGCTCTGTTCTCCGTGGGATCTCAGTCCCTTCCCTGGGATCCTGGGTTGTGCGCTCTGCCCTGCTCCACAATCACCGCCTCACTGGGTCTGCCAGCTGCTGCTTGCGTACTCAGGGTCCACCCGCTGTGATCTTGTGCGCCCCAGATGCCTTATGTGCTCCTGGTTGCCTTATGCTCCCTTCTCTCCCTGTTCTCCGCTGCGCCTTGCACCCGGCTGCTGGTCTCTGCTCCCTCCTACCGGTCTGGATGAACGGGTCTATTTCAACTTCTTGGCTGTCTGACTTCCATTCAGATAAAATTTCTATCAGTTTTGGGTGTTATTCTGCCTCTAAATTATTGTTGTTCCAATCTTGGTTGTGCATGGAGGTACAGTACATCCACCTATGCCTCCACCTTGGCTGGAAGCCTCGACATACCTTGTTTCTAAATTGTGATAATACCTCACTTCAGTTTGATTTAATGCCTGTAGAGTTTGTAGTCTTATCAAAGGGGAAAAGAAAGAGAAATGACAATGTGATTTTGTTTTCCAACATTACCTGCTAAGACACAAACTCCATTAACAGAATGAATGGAAGCTACTATTAGCAACATTTGGATCAATAAACCAGTTACATTGGCTTCTGCTATAGACTTGACTTTTTTTGCTTCCATATTTATACTTTCTGGTTTCTATATGTTATTTCTCTTTTTTTTAAGATTTTATTTATTTATTTTTAGAGAGGGAAGGGAGGGAGAAAGAGAGAGAGAGAGAAACATTAATGTGCGGTTGCTTGGGGTCATGGCCTGCAACCCAGGCATGTACCCTGACTGGGAATTGAACCTGCAATACTTGTTACTTCTTTTTTTAACATCATTTGTATTTCCATTAGAATGCACTCTACCTTATTATTTTGTTCTTTTACCCATTCTTTCTTTAATTTTCCCATCCTTCTATCCATTCATCCAGCTATACTAAATACTAACAACTGTGCCAGAAGCAAGAGAGACAAAAATGGTCATGATATCATTCTAGTCCTTAAGAGTTCACAGTTCAGTGGAGGAAAAACACAAGTAAATAAAACCTTTTCCCCTATTTCTTTTTATTTTTTTTCTCAATATTAGTCAATCTAACCTCATATTCTCCCATTTCAGCTAAGCACAGTGAGTCAGACACGAAAGAAGGCATTTTCTGTATCCAAGATTCTTTAAATGAAGTTCAGATCAAGTGCACAGATTCCTTGCTTGTGCAATCACGTGTTACCTCTGGGTAACTCCATGTCTTCAGGGTTTCTGGGGTCTCCCTTTCATTTGACAGTCATGCTCAGTTCCTAATACAATGAGTTATTCTTCATCTCACGGACAGCTCTGTCATTCCCAATATCTCCCAGGACCCTCATGCAGACTAAATTTACCTTTCACTCTTGTTACCATCCTGTGTTTTTGAACCTCACTGTGTATCCTGCCTCCCATGGTTGACTGCTGCCCTCTATTTGTCCTCCTCGGGCCCACTACCTTTGTTACTCAAAGCACTGTCAATGCTGAGCTGTTCGTACAACAGCATCTTACAATTTAATATTCCCATTAGTATCCCAAACTTCTGCAGCTCTGTGTGTGGAGGGATTTCTCCCTTTCTTGTCATCATATTAGAGGTGTTTCTTCTTTTCTTTTTGAGAACTTTCCCATTTTCTTCTCTTTAGAATTCAACTTTTTTTCAGACTTCCACACTGTCAGACCAACTTCCAATTTCCTACCATATTATTAGGCACTCTACTTGAGTTCTCTGTTGCAACTCTCTCATTCTATACCACACTTAGTGTCCTTACTCTTTACCACACAAAAAAAGAAATTGTTTAGCTGAGTTTTTAAAGCAAAATAATTACCTATTTCTGAGATGAATATTGTCTCCAGAATGCCAAAGTTTGTTTTTTTATACTTTTATTATTCTATTATTGTTATACTCCAGCAGGTTTAAAAAGTATTTAAAAGGTAAAGATACAGTGAAGTATTAAAATCACAATAATGATACAAATACAGAATTGTCATGTTGTACTTTAAGTAATGCTAATAAAAATATTGATAAATGCAGCCCTGGCTGGTGTGGCTCAGTAGATTAAGCTCCAGACTGTGAAGCAAAGGATCGCTGGTTCGATTCCCAGTCAGGACACATGCCTGGGTTGTGGGCAAGGTCCCCAGTGTGGGGGAGGGGGCAAGTGAGAAACAACCACTCTTTCTCCCTTTCCCTCCCTCTCTTTCTCCCTCCCTCACCCTCTCTCTAAAAATAAATAAATAAAATATTTAAAAAATATTGATAAATGCAAATCCCAAATGACTTATAAAAACAAACAAACAACTTTTGGCTTCCAAAGTTTTGTGTGTTGGAGTTGTGTATATATGGAGAGAGGCTGTTCAGTTCCTTTGTTTGCTCACAGGTATTTGTGTGAAGGCCAGAATTATGTCACAACTTACACACACAAAGGTGCAAGCACCCCATTATTGAGGAGGTAGTAGCCATTTCTTATTAATGTTCTTTTAAGATTTCACAAATGCTTATAACTTAAAAAACTCCTCCAGTTCTTTTAATAATGATTTATCAATTGTGTTATCAATTTGCTGAAAAAAAAATACTGTTATCATGGTTTTCAAACTTTAGTACACACAGCAATCATCTAGGAAGTTTCACAAATGCAGCTGTCTTCTTCCCACATGTCTGATGTCTGATAAGGAGGTGAGGAATTCTCTTGGTGTGAACTCCCCAAATATATTTAATGAATGTGGTGTGGAGGTCACACTCCTCTTCTAGGAATATGGATGGGCAATTTAAATGATTTCCAAGTGCAAGATGATTCATGTTAGTCATTCCAACCACCAAATGTGGTATCTTAAGACTCTGTTGATCTTTTACTGACAACATAATAATTCATTTAATAAACATAAAGTTCTAGTAGTTCTTAAAGAAGTAATAATTATATTTTGAATGTGTACTAAAACATCTATAATGATGATTTATAATACCTGTATAGTACTTTAAATAAAAAACATTTCAATATACATCATTATTTTCACTTCATCCTGAACAATGGGGCTGGTAGGAATACTTTAAGATAATTGAATTATGTAGGTTTTCCAATAGATCAGCAAGTTAAAAGGAATGCTACCAACAGTCAGGCTGCTCTAAAGTCACCTTACAACCTAATTTTAAAACCAAGATAATGTTTTTGGCTGACTTAAGGCCTTTCAGAAAGAGAGGCTCACCTTTAAAAAGTCAGGGTCTCTGTGCAAGGTTGGGATTTATTCATTGCAATTTGAACAGAAGCGCAGATTGGAAAACCTGCTGTTCCAATCTACACACTCTGTAGCTAACATTCCAGAACTGTAAAATGCCGTAGGAATCGTGTTGTTAATAAGTACTGATATGAGTTAATTATGTAAATTGCTTTTAAGAGTGTCTGGTACTAGTAAGAACTACATAAGAGAACTTTTATGATTATTCTGTGTTAGTAGCTGTGTGTACTCATGTACTAATGACCAAAGAAATGAAAAAGTTGAGTAAAAGATACTTTGTAACTTACATGATACTCTAACATTTAGAGTTCTTTTTCAGGAGAGGAAGAAATTGTCTTTTAATTTGTTCCTTAACTCCGTTTCTTCCTCTTCAGCCATGTTGCCTATCTTCTTGCCTAGATTTGATCTTTTGGAAAAGTCTCCTCCTTAAATTGGTATAATTTGGATAGTAACATAACTCAGAGGTTTTTTTTTCTCATGTTCATACTTGATGATAACTGGAACATATTATTTCTAGGTAGAAGCCTACAGTTAAATTTGGGTGGCTCCCAAGTTTCTGTAGTGTGGACTACATCTGCTTTATAGATGGGAAACTTGATCTGCTACGTGAAGAGTTCTAGGACCATAAATAATATCTGGAACCATAGTCTACCTTTGTTATTCTTTTTAGTCCGTTGCCCTTTAAAATTCTTTAGGAGTGATTTTTATGCTGTCTTCACAGGTATACAAAACAGTTAAGAAATTTTTTTTTCCAATATAAATCAAATTTTTTACCTGTATAAGCTGAAAACAGAACTTGAAATGCACTGCATGCATGACTCTAATTAATGTTACCTGTAGTCTTTTCTTTCGCTCGAGCAACATCCCAAGGGAAATCTTACCATTTGCCTTTATTGTTTTTCCTCTACAGGGAGTGGTGCTCTTCAGTTTGAATCTAAGTATGTTATAGTTTAAATCACTCTGTCTCTTATATTTCTTTTCCCCCACTACAGTTTATTGCTTTTGCTTCTTTGTTCTTCATCCTGGTTTCAATCACAACTTTTTGCCTGGAGACCCACGAAGCTTTCAACATTGTTAAAAACAAGACGGAACCAGTCATCAATGGCACAAGTGTTGTTCTACAGTATGAAATTGAAACGGATCCTGCCTTGACATACGTAGAAGGAGTGTGTGTGGTGTGGTTTACTTTTGAGTTTTTAGTCCGTATTGTTTTTTCTCCCAATAAACTTGAATTCATCAAAAATCTCTTGAATATCATTGACTTTGTGGCCATCCTACCCTTCTACTTAGAGGTGGGACTCAGTGGGCTCTCATCCAAAGCTGCTAAAGATGTCCTTGGCTTCCTCAGGGTGGTAAGATTTGTGCGGATCCTGAGAATCTTCAAACTCACCCGCCATTTTGTAGGTCTGAGGGTGCTTGGACATACTCTTCGAGCTAGTACTAATGAATTTTTGCTGCTGATAATCTTCCTGGCTCTGGGAGTTTTGATATTTGCGACTATGATCTACTATGCCGAAAGAGTAGGCGCTCAACCTAACGACCCTTCAGCTAGTGAGCATACACAGTTCAAAAACATTCCCATTGGGTTCTGGTGGGCTGTGGTGACCATGACCACATTGGGCTATGGGGATATGTATCCCCAAACATGGTCAGGCATGCTGGTGGGAGCCCTATGTGCTCTGGCTGGAGTGCTGACAATTGCCATGCCGGTGCCTGTCATTGTCAACAACTTTGGAATGTACTACTCCTTGGCAATGGCGAAGCAGAAACTTCCGAGAAAAAGAAAGAAGCACATCCCTCCTGCCCCTCAGGCAAGCTCACCAACTTTTTGCAAGACAGAATTAAATATGGCCTGCAATAGCACACAGGGTGACACATGCCTGGGCAAAGACAATCGACTTCTGGAACGTAGCAGATCAGGTAAGGCACAATTCCACATGCATGCCATTAAGTACTTTATAGACCAGTATGTCCCTTAGGTAGAAGGTGATCATTCCCATTTTCTACTAATGTTCATGAGTTTTCAGTTCTACCCGTTCACAAAACCTGTGTTTGTGTCAGGCTTAAGGGTAGCGAGATTGTAGCTTTTCTAAATGAATTCTAAGTAGAAGTCTGTCTAGCTGGTCTGTAGAGTTTTCCTGCTTCAGTGGGAATGTCCTTTGCTGATGGTGCCAATATTTTCTTTTGCCTGTGTGTTGCATTTGTGCCAATGTTTCTTTGTTTCCCTGCATGATGTGATGGTATGATACTGGCCATTTTCCATCCTTCATCCTCAAAATGTTGATCCCCATATCATTTGGCTTGGTGTGTTTGTCTCAGTTTTATCTTTGCCACATGGGGCCATGCATTTGCACCTAACTCATAAGAAGCAGTTACTTAAGAAGAATGGATGTTTACATTTCAAAGGCATAAACATCAAAGAGGTGATATGGAAGATAGCCTTCTTAATAACAAAGATCTTCCCTAATAATATTCTGGAGGATTGATTACATTTAATTATTCTTAAATTAGGTAGTGTATCAACATAGTACCTTTGGATTGGGCAAGGTGCTGTATAATCAATTCACCACTATTCTGGGGATAGATGATCTGCTTTTGGCTAATCAATGGCAATGTTGAATTTTTCTGTGGGATTTCTTCTTTTATGCACTATGCACTGGGCTTTCATCCCTCCTACACTGGACACTGGATGATTAACTGTTTGACATTAGCTGAATTCCTACTCTTCTCCATTGCCATAGATAACCTGGAATAGATGGACTCGATTGACTGGAAATTGATGTTCCGTTTGCAAAAGTGATCATCAGTAGTTATCACCTCTAGTCTATTATGTCTGGTACCAGTAAAATATTTTTAGGTTAAACAACTTAATTACCTTTTAGCCCACTATGAAAATTTAAGATATATATACATTCACTATAACTTGATTACATGTATTTTTTTTCTTATAGAAAAATGATTTGTGATAATCCTATGTGAATCATTTTGGATAATTTAGAAATATCACCAATTAAACAAAGCAAACAAGCAAACAAACAAACAAAGGCAGGTGACATTTTCATTGGCTTTCTCCTTAGTTTACAAAGGTTTTATGGAATAAATAGGAAAACATGTGGCCTGAGCTGAATTGCTTCTTAAAGATTTTACTCACAGTCCTTATATTTAGTCAGTAGATTGCTCTGCAAATTCTGTCAATATATATCAGAAACTGTCAGGTGAAGAGTGTCTTTCAGAAAGGTGGCATTTAGTTGGTGGTGCTGGCTGCATCAGACTGTTCTCAGAGGACCTGCACCTTGTGAAGGGCATGGAGGAAGAGCACACACTCTCAGCCCAGGGAACATTGTTATAACAAGCTGGTACCAGGCGGATGGGTTGTGACCATCTTTGGCAAGCATACAGAAGTAAACAGTTCTTTCAAGGGCATTTGGAGAACCTGATCTTCTTTCATTATGTACAAAACTATTTGTTCACTTCAAAGTATAGAACCTGGACACAAAGTTTGTGAGCTTTTGGATTATTTTTATCATAATTTGTGGGAAAAGCTACTTCCAGAAAATAATAAAAGTTTGTTTATTAAAGAGCTGCGAAGACAGATACTTACTTAGTTTTTCCTTAAATAGGCTCCACTTAAAAAAATGTTCCTTTTTATAGTAACTAGATCGCATGTCAAAAACTGTAAGATATTAATTTGTATTCTCCTTCATGATCACACTTACTTTGAGTTCATGTTAGTTTTGTAAAAGTAAATTTCTTATTAGATAGAATCCAAAATGTAATTAAAACTTCCCAAAGAATGTTTTTATCTCTTTCAATACATTTCCATTTTTTGGTCCATGTAAATTTTCGTGGTGAGTGATGAAAATCTTTTTCTTATCCTGATGTGATTATTCTGTTTTGTATACCGAGTGACTGTACTATGGACATTTGGTGTAAACTCTTTGTACTGTCTGTCTCATTTCCTCATCCATCACTGTCTGTCAATGGGCCTGGTGCTGTGACCAGTGTTATCAGGTGATGACAGTTCGGGACGTGAGCCATCATTATCACCCCCAGAAAGGCTCCCCATCAGACGCTCTAGTACCAGAGACAAAAACAGAAGAGGGGAAACATGTTTCCTACTGACAACAGGTGATTACGCGTGTGCTTCTGATGGAGGGATCAGGAAAGGTAGGCATGCATTTTGTCAGATCCTCACAGGTGACTTAGAAATGAAGCGCTGCAAATATACAGAGTGATGTAAAATTATTTTTCATTTTCTTGGAAAGACTACACATAGTGCTCTTTTCCAATTCTCATCACATCTTTTCTCATAAACATTAAAAATATGTATCATAACAGTCTACTTGGCTGTCATGTCTGAATGTCATTTTCTTCCTTCCTCCCTTCCTTCCTTTGTTTTTTTCTGATTTTCTATACCTTTATGGGAAGAAATGTAATGGAGTATTTAAAAGTTAATTCATCCAATTGTTGAGTAGCAATCTTTAAAAGTTATCTTTTTTCCCCACAACTAATAAAACTCACTAATTGGCTCTATGTATATAATTGATAAGTAATTGATGATTATAAAACAGTAAGTGTATTTTCAAAGAAAAGCACTAAATGGGCTGTAATTAAGTCTGTTACCCAATGTTTGACCACGTTTTTGCTGTAGTTTACATGAGTGTTAGAAGGTTGAAAAGGTACAAGATCCTTGGCCATCTAGAATACTGTGCTCAATCACTTGAAAGGCTACTTATGTACTTATAAAATGTGATTACATAATTTCTCTTCAAGGTAATAATAATTTTAAATTTATTACTGTTTTTCAACCCACACAGAAGTGTGCCTGGTGCATAGAAAGTATGTTGAATGTATAATTTTGTTGGGCCAGCATCTTGGTTAAGGAATATAACGTAATGCCAAAGCTTCACTCCCTCACATGGTTCATTTTTCCTAGACTGGGCCATTTTGACCATTTCCTGGGTGTTGCTTTTTGCTTTCGTTTTGTGTAAACTTTACAGATATTAGAACAATTGAGCCCTTTTTATGTCATCCTTAAGAATTAGTTTTATTACATTTCCCATCCTTGTCAAAGTGACAATATGCTCCTTATTAACTCCTACTTTGATGGTTCCAGTTGCTGTATTGACATGATTATTTTCTCTGTTTATTGACAGAATGGAAAAAGATTTATAGTAATTCTTATGCAGTGGATTGAATTTAAATGAAAAGCCACTCCAAAACTTTCATATTCATGCAACTGAATTTTAAAAATATTGTGCTCTTTGCTATTCATTGCAGTTTCCCCCTATTGAATGTTACTATTTTAAGCCTCTGATATTTATTTTATGATGCTCTCTCTCTTTGAAATACCTCATTACCCTTGTCATACTTCTACTTGATTTCTTCTGAGCACTTTACATCATCCTGTCTCCATGCCTTTGAGTCTCAGAAGACAAAGGACTCTTCTTTTGTCTCTTCAGTATGCAATATTTTAAATCTTTCCTCATTTAAATTATTTCCATTCTCTGCATCCATTCCTTTCCCTGAAATGTACTTCAGTCATTTGAATATGTTTGATTGCTATTTAACATATAAATATTGTTTAAAAAATTTTAAATATTTGATAAAGGTAGTTAATATTCTATTATAGTACTTGAACAAGAAATATGTACATGCATTAAATAATCATAATAATATCAAATAATACCTTATGTAGAACAATATTTTAAGTACATTATACATCTTAATTCACTATATATGTATATACATGTATATGAGTGTATATACATATGTATGTATTTATATGTATTATGTCATTAAATTTTTGCATTTTAATATAGTCATAAAATATAACACGCAGTATTTATATTACATGTTTAAGAACATTTTGTTTTTTAATGTAAGAATATTAAACTGTCAAAGGAGATCACATATGAAACTTTGCAAATTATAAAGCACTATGTAAATATAAAGTTTTCTTGTAAAATGGCAAAGTTTCATGAGCAAAGCAATTAATAAGATATTTAGTCTGTATGGAAAAGTTATGCATACAATCTTATTTCACAAATACAAATTTTCTTTATCAATGGGAAAAATTTTGAAAATTTATCTATGACATTTTATTCTTTGTCATTTCTTACCATAATCAACTTCTTTTTTCACTCTTGTTTAATTCTTTTGCAGCTTTGTATTTTTCACCTAGGTCTGGTAACATTTCTGGCTAACTTCACTTAATCTTCTTAGCGTGTTGTCTTGTCATTTTTATCAAGAATTCATTCCTGTGTTTTGTTTGCTTTTATGTAAATTATATATTTCCTTTTATGTAGATGTAGATTTCTCCTATTATTCATACTCAGATGTTTATTTCCTATATGATCCCCCCTTTTTTTCTACTTTTCAAATTAGTCTCTTTACTGATTTGATTTTAGAGTCCTGAAAATTCTCTCCTATATAGATGAAAAAAATATTGGATTACCTTTCTTTTTCTATTAACAGATATGAATATAGTTGAGCATACATTAAGACACCTTATAGATTCCCTAAAAGAGTAAACTCTCTGTACTTAGAATCCATGATTTTATTTATGCAGTCATTTTTAGGAAATCACATTATTGGAAACAAAAACATACCCATTATTAATACATGGATAGGCAGTTTCAATATTGCCTCAAATAAACACTTGCTCTTCAGAACTATATAAAATACACACCATGTATTTAGATGTTAGTTCAAAGTAATGTAAACATAATAAAAGTTTGGGGAAAATTTTAACAAATTTTCTAATCATAAATTGACCTGCAGAATAAAGAAAAATATATTTATATGAATAACATAATTTTCCTATTAAAATACTTGTTATTAAATTAGAATGCAAGCCCTTTCAAATGAACAATGAAGTTATAGTTATTAAAAAAGGATTAATAAACAAAATAGATAATATTTATGTTAAAATCTACTTTTCAGAAAAATAATCGAGCATTTAGAATGGCCGCCAAGATTTACATGTAACCAGTATGATTAATATAAAACTATCAAACAGATTTTTATATTTTTGTAGGTCAGGTAGGGAGCATGGAGATTGTGGGGGACAAAGTGTGCATTTTTATGTGGATGATTCATAGGTAGTAACAACCCCTTCCAGCCATGCATATTCACAAGTTTGCTTTTCATCAAACCCAATGAATGTTTATGGTAAAGTTTATATTTTCAGGTGACACAGTCAAGTAGGATAAATTATTCTTTCTGAAATTTCCAGTTATATTTTCAATCACTTTACCAAAGAGAGGTAATTAGTAGCCCTCCAGGCACATGAAGGTCCCTGTGTGAGGATAACTCACCTAGAATTCTTTTTTAATGACTTAAGACATCCTCCCATTAATTATACCATCCTTCACCAGAGGAGAGTAAAGTACATACCACCTCCCATGTTTTATAGCTAACAAAATATATTGGCAGATAATTTTCTCATTAGCAGAATTTATTTCCTGGAGAACTTCACTATAGTTAATGGATGGCATAAATTTCCATCTACAAAATACCAAAGAAGACATCCAGTCTGCTGAATATTTCTGTGTGTGTATGTGAGGAAGGGGTTCCTCTTCAGTCCAGCCCTACTCTGCAAAGGAGCTGTTATTGCCATCCATACCCGTATCCAAATCTGTCCTGGGCCCTTGTAAATTGAATAATCACTAAATCATTTAAATCACCTCTCTTCCAGGGAAAGGGGGAGAGATAGCTGTGGTTTCTTCCCCAGAAGTTTCATGAGAGTAAAAGAATTAGAGAAGGAAGTAGCTGAGAGGAACATAAGGAAACACACCAGGCCCACTTTCTTTTTTGTAGAGTCGTCAGGCACACTGAGGCGAATCAGGGCCCAAGGACTGTGCCATCAGTCTGAGGGAGGCAAGACGCTCACTGGAATTGTGACTATTTGCTCAGTGTTGGCTGTCCAACAGAGAATTTTACTTTCCTGCTGCACCACACTTGTTCAATGGAGCTGTCAGAACATATCTTTCTTAGGCTGTATGACTGCTTCTCTTGTCAATAGTTGCCCTATTTTCAGGATAGTTTTCCTCTAACTTGACACTAAGTGCTGCCTACCTCATTTAACTGCCTCTGATATTTTCTAATGAAAAGTATTACAATATATGAATTCTTCCAAAGGTTACTTTGATAGGATGTTTCTTTTATTTGTATTTTATTTGTATTCATTTTTTGTTGGAGTGTTTCTTGAGTAGTTAAGATGAACTATTGGGTTAAAGGTTGTGAGAAAAACCTTTTATTCTGTAAGTCCATGAATTTCATTAACAAAAGGTTATAATGCAAAATAATAAAAAGAAAAGGCGAATTAAATTAAAATTGTTTTCAATTCCTAGCAGAGAAGGCAGCTGAAAACATATAATTAAAATTAGACTTTAACTCACTGAAATTATGACTCAATTTATATTTCATTCATTTTATATTTTCTTTACTTTTTTATTGAAAATATTAGATAAGGACATTCATTCAACATCATTTGGATAATGGCATCAAATGTCATTATTTAAGAACCATTCTTTTAACTCCATAAAGCTGGAAGATTAAATATGCTATAAAAAGAGTTGTCCATTTAAAGTTAAGCATGCTTTAACAGCTTAGTAAATACTAAAACATAAAAAGGAGAAATAATCCATTTATTTTTTTCCAGGAACATATTCTGAAATTTAGTAATATTAGCCAAGTGTATATCTTACTTAAGTTGCTTTGCCTAATTCTAAAAGAGTTCTGGTATTGCATAGGCCAAAATTACATCAAAACAAAGAACAATCTGGGAAAGAATAGATTTTGAAAGTATTGCAGCCATAATTTGTGATAGGTGGTTTACTCTTTGGGAATGACAGCTGCAGTGAACTTCAGTTTCTCTAGAGTTAAACATTGTCTAAATATTGAATTCTTTGTAAACAAACTCTGTTTTGAGCTCAAAAATAGGACTTTTGATTATCTTGCATGGTATTGTTTTCCTGTGTCTATTTTCTGGTTGAATTCAACTTATGTCTGTGCCTTTTTTCATAAAAGGATATGAAAAATCCCGAAGCTTAAACAACATAGCGGGCTTGACAGGCAATGCTCTGAGGCTCTCTCCAGTAACATCACCCTACAACTCTCCTTGTCCTCTGAGGCGCTCTCGATCTCCCATCCCATCTATCTTGTAAATCAAACTGCATCAGTCGGCTAAATTGTATTAATTCGAGTACAGTCTACTCCATCATGGGAATAATTAAATGTAGAGTTACTCCAACCTCCATTAACACAGTACAAATCTGCATGACGTTTTCTGAAGTCAGAAATGCCATTTGGGTAGTTATTGAATCTTATCCTGGCTTTAAAGATTATCTAAAGTAGTGGTATTACTTCTCCATATTAATTGCCCTGATGTCCTTTTGCAATAAAATAACAGATAGTATCAGATATTGGCCAGTACACTAATACATAAACATATTTTCAGGGAGATATATTTAAAACAGTGTGCTTCCAAATGCTAACCACTTCACGGGACCTTCATTTCTGTGACTTTCTACACAATTCTGAAGATGTCTGGGATCCTATCTTGCTTGCATACCACATGACTTCCGTCAGCTCATTTGCATGGACCATCTTGTCTCTGTCACCTGAAAGTGATGGCACAGAGTTCAGGGGACATGGAGGGCTCGGGATATGTGTACTTGCATCCAATTGTCCTACTGATATGAAACTGGTCGACTGTTCTGCATGTTGAATGGTGGGGCAGGTGGGCAAGTTTCTCTTTGACATTTTTTCATTTATTGTTTGAAAGAAATATTTGTCTTAAACAGCTTAATTTCTTGATTGATTTACCTTTCTTCAAAAGTGCTGTATTGGAGTTCTGAATGTCTCTGGTTGTTTGCACACAGATAACTACAAAGAGGTTGTCATTACTGGTTACATGCAAGCCGAGGCCAGATCCCTGACTTAATGGCTTGGGGAAGGCACAAAACATGAGAGACAGGTAACTGTCAGCCAGGCTTGCCTTGCTGAAACAGGAATTGCTGCTTGATAATTGAATCATTTTTTTTTAAATCCCAGGATTTGTCATCATTTTCAGAGGCAGAGCGCCAAGTATTTCCAAAGCTCTCATGCCTTTTTTAAACCTCCTTTATTTCATTTATTAATTTTTGTGCAAACATCAAAGAACATCGTTGCTCACAGGAGGCTTACTTGACCAGCCTTAAGTTTCTGACTCACAAGAATAATCAGATTTTCAGTCAATGTTTAATCAGGTGCTTTGTCCTGAATGTTGTTCTGTCTGTCTGTCTTAGCTCCCTGTCTTAACTGTATATGCCATCTGTCTCCATAAAGCACAGAAATGCCTGATAAGGTGTTCATGATTTTAGTACTGGGCCTTTTCCCATCCCCTTGCCTTCCTTGCTACTTGGAACAGCTTCTCTGCTTTGTGTATGAATTAAGGATGCCCGATAGACTAAGTTAATCGATACTGTGAACCTTTCTGATAAACAGAATTTAGGCAGCAGCAATGTTACCATTGCATTTGGTTGCCTGCTGAAGTGTCAGATTCTACTGCCTACCAACCAGCATTCATCTCTACACTCTAATCAAACTTCTAGGGAGTCTTATTCAGTCCAAGTGGAAGAAATTCTGTTTACACATCCCCACTAATGCAATAGCAACAGTGTGTCTGGTGTATTGGATATGTGAGGGAAGAAAAATGCCATAATATATATTGAGGGATAAACCATATTTCTAAGGCATTCAGGATCATTGAGATTGTTGATTAATTTCTAATTCTCATGTTTATTTTTTGTTAGGAGGACAATTATCACTTTTATTCTTGGCCACGTAACTTATATTACTCTAGATCCCCAAGTCCTAGAGCATGACCTGCATGTCAGAGACCTTGTACAGCAATGTATTTACCCAGACGTACCCATCTGATGTTTAGAGATTCAGTGATCCTCTTGTTAACACCACACATAGAAAGCTATAATTATTCAGAGCTCTATGGTAAAGGAATTATAATACTCTACTGTCTGGTGCTGCTGTTATTGACTGCAGTGTTGTACAGAATTTAGCATGGACTTTTGATGGCTGAAAAAGGGACAGTGGAATTTAGCCATATCAAGGACTGTACTGGAAACAGGCTTCTGCTGCTGAATGTGCCCTGATGTAACCAGGATGCACTTGGAAGAAGTTCCCGTGTCTTCAAGAAACATTTAAAGCTCGTAAAAGGATTGTGGCTGGAACTCATTTGGTGCTGCCTGTATGAGTGGTTTGCTTGTGGACTGGCCACTGTCCGTGAAACAAATGTAAATACCAACATGTGTGTGTGGGTCAATAATTTTGGACATCTCACATCAAAGGAAGCCAAATTCATGATCCACATCTCTGAAGCTTCAAGTATGGCCCATACCTCTGTGAACTACCACTACTCGTGGGCCTGCGGTAGATTGTGCTGTGAATCACACAAGGCAGCGATTTCGGTGTAATATCGGTCTGTCTTAATTTCTCTTATTTCCCCTTTGTTGGTTGGATTCATGAATATTGTATCCTTTTCTTATCAAGCACTTACGTTTTCAGCTTGTCATATTATGTTGTCAAATTTCCAGTGCCTATTTATTGAAACTGACCTGGTTTTAGTCACATAGTTGTTTAGTTCTAGAAAATCACCATGACAAAAAGCACCATTATTCATAGTTTGTCTTTTGTCATTGTTACCTCAATTATAAATATTATAGAAAAATTCTGGCAATGAGAGTATTTTTTTACTAAATGACCAAGGAATAATGTCAGTATATAGTAGAATATTAATCAAATTATATCCTAAATTGTATATTTTGCATAAGAGAGATATTCTTCAATGAATTACTTTTTGGTGAGTTTTGTGGCAAATGAAGCTTGTATTTGTCTTTAAAACTGTTGTGGTTGAAACTGTGTAAGAATTCTTCATCTTGCTTAATCAGTATTTCTAGGATCTATTAGTTCCCCTGGGATTCTGAATATAACATATAACCTAGTTATAAATCTCTGTATTGTGGACCTTTTGTGAAAAATTCAAGGTGCATGCACAACCTTGGTGATAACTGTGGAAATGTAACTCACTGAAATGAAGAATAAAAGACACCTAAGCTGGGGTAAGCTTGAATCCTATCTGATTAAATTATTCACTTTTTTCTGAGCTCCTCTCTTTACTATTTTTATGTTTCGTGGCAGCAAACCAGACGCTCACACATAATAAAGAAATTGGGATGGAAGGACTTACAAATATACATAGCTCTCAGTGTCATTCAACTCCTAAGCATGTAGCCAGTGGTTTACTCTTCTAAGTATTCTGTCTGTCTAATTTTTCTTATACTTTTTTTAAAAGATTTTATTTATTTATTTTTAGAGAGGGAAGAGAGGGAGAAACTGAGAGAGAAACATCAGTGTGCAGTTGCTGGGGACCATGGCCTGCAACCCAGGCATGTGCTCTGACTGGGAATCGAACCTGAGACACTTTGGTTCACAGCCTGCGCTCAATCCACTGAGCTACGCCAGCCAGGGCTAATTTTTCTTATACTTTGAGATGACCAAATTATGAATTATTATGGTATTTGATATCTATATGGCATTTTATGAGTTATACTTTCCAACTTAATCATCACAGACATTCTGAAAGTCAATATTTTTTATGGTGATTGAGCAAAAGATCAGAGAGGCAGAACTGTTCACTTATACTTTTGCCACAGAGAATCTTCCCTGGCATAATTTCTCATAGTTTAAATATTTACTGAGCCTCTAGTGGTAAATGCCTTACCTTCCAAAGGCAGCTGCTATCTCACTGTTGGGGAATGGACCTTTGTGTCAGCTGCACACCACATGTAGCTGGTGTTCCACTTATATTGTGGGGTCACATGTACATTTTCTCTGTAACATTCTATGAAACCATAGGATGAGGGGAAGGGAAAATGATACAGAGAAATCAGGTTGACCAATGAAACATTTTCCCATCATGAATCAACAGAATCTTTTGTATGTCTAAAAATGTTCAGTGTTGATTTTTAAGGGACTGTCAGGAAACTGAGCTCAGGAAAGGGAATCTGTCTAAATATAATTACTGGTAATATGTTTTTATTGATGATGACAGAATGTAGGATTTACTGTAAAAAATATGTATGAGAGGGAAAGAATACATTTTAAACATGATAATATAATACATTTTAATACATGATAAATTAAGTAGTTATAAATGAAAAGCAAAAATATTCATTTTATTTTTGAAACAAATCACAAGACAGATTAATGGAATAGCAATGGTGAACTTGTCTTAGAGACAATGACTATGTTAAAATGCTATATTACAAAGCAGGAACTCTAGAGAATTTATAACATGATTGAAGATAGAGCTAAATGGATCTTTAAAATATTAAAATCCCTAGTGGTTTATAATGATTAAAATAAGTGGTTTAAATTTTTTCCTTGTTGAAAAAATTAACTTTTTTCTTCCAATTTTCCTTGCCAAAATTCAATTAGTTGTTGAAATGCTTGATCATTATTAAACTATGGATGTATACTAATTTTTTCTAACATGGATTCAGTATTATTAATATTGATCCTAAATTTTATAATTTCTTCTTCTCCTTAAACTAACTCTATTTTGAGGCTGTGATGATTTCATTATTGTCTAAAAATTAAATAATTTTATTAATATTACATAATTTTATTTTATATTTATTACACTATCATGTCAAAGTGATGGACCATCGACTATGCATTTTAAGCACTAAAATCTTCAAAGACTATGGTAGTCTCCTAGAGTCCCAGGTAACCTAATACTCATTTTTTAAATAGACCTTATTTTTTAGAACAAGTTTAGGTTCACTGAAAAATTGAGCGGAAAGTAGCGGAGAGTTCCCGTCTAACTCCCCAAAACCTCCCTCACTATCAGCTCCCACTCCAGCGTGATGCACCTGGTGCATTTGGTTCCATCATGAACCGATGCTGACTCATTGTTGTCACCCCAAGTCCTCAGTTTACATTACGGGTCACTCTTGGGGTTGTACACTCTATGGATTTTGATAACTGCATAAGGAAATGCGTCCAACACTCTAGCATCACACAGAATAGTTTCATTGCCCTGAAAGTCCTCTGTGCCTCACGTATTAATCCCTCCTTTCCCTCCAATCCTTGGCAGCTGTTGATCTTTTTACTCTCCTCACAGTTGTATTTTTTTCCAGGATGTTATATAGTTGGAATCATACAGTATATCGTTTTCTCAAATTGGCTTTTTTTCAGTTAGTAATGTGCATTTGAAATTTCCCCGTGTCTTTTTATGGCTTGACTGCACATTTCTTTTTAGTGCGTAATAATATTCCATTGTCTAGATGCACCATTGTTTTCCCAGCCACCTACTGAAAGACAGTTTGGTTGTTTCCAAGCTCTGATGATCATGCATTAAGTTGGCTAAACATCTGTGTACAGACTTTGTGGATATGATTGAGTATCATAGTAATATCATGGGTTTTGGCAATGACCATTTATTAATGGTCTGTGATTAAATTCAAAGTATAGAAATCACCATGAACTGAACCATTATAGATTTTATAAATATCGTGTTTTTATTTACTTTATAGGTTAGCTAGTCACTTACTAGTAGGCTAGTCAAGTATCTTTATTAGGAAAGTCTTTTTTTTAAATTTTGGAATCAAGTTTTATGTACCATTGTTTGTAAAATAGTGTGTATTATAAACCATAGAAGTTATATCTTTATTTTTCAGTGTATTTCCCATAATAAAAATAATGAGACAAGGGCATTCCATGTAACTTAAAAATCAAGTAATTTGTTTTTGGAGGAAAATAAAAATTTTACCTTTGTTAAATTTGGTAAACATTAACAATTTTTTCTATAAGCCAGGAAGAAATATTATCACACCAAAATAATTTGGCAGTAATGAAAATGTTACATTCCTCTTAGGAGTAGTGAAGTGACATAAAACAGCTACAAACACTACTATATGTGAAGGATTCTTAATATAATTTGAATGTGGCAGTACCTGAAGTCTTTCCTCGATGAATGGCCTCAACAATTTTATTTATTTTCTTTTGAGATTCTTTAGCAAGTATCTAAAATGTAATGTAAATCACATTCTTTCTTGATGGCAAAGAGAAAAAGTTATGTTAAAGACAAGTCTGAAGACTATGTTTTTTGATCAAAAACAAAACAAAGCCAATGAAAACCAAACCTATAATTTTATTGTGCAGGATTAAGCATGAAGCCACTACCTAAGAAATGACTAGATATATTTTTTCCTATTGAGAGCTCACATTTTCAAGGCACTAGTTTAAATGCTTTACCTGCTGTTCTTTCCTGTTGCAGTAGCTGTTTCTTTTCCCACTGGATGCCAGCAGGATGCCTAAAAGTTATGGGGATTCTGGCTGGCTGGCTGGTAGGAAGCTCCAGAATCTAAGGTAATAATGGTTAAAAATACACACACTCCTCCATACAGCTGGATATACAGAGATAAAAAAAGGCATATAAGAAAAGGCTTAAGATAAAAAGCCTTGAAAACTAAATATTGCCTGAAACAAGATCATGTAGTGTGAAATAAACAAAAAGACAAGTCAAAGTTAAAGAAATAATTCTATAATTCTGCTTCCTAAACCATGTTAGAATAAATTTTCCCAAAAGGACCAGCCTTTCTTTTCACTGGAGACCTTGAAAGGTTTGTACTGCATAAAATGGGCAGGAGATGAGACCATCAATTTTCACATTCCATAGCAAGGAATGATTTTACACAACTTGATCTTAGGTGCTTTTCAAAAAAATGTTTCTTCTTTTAGTTTTAACAGAGAAATATTCTTTCTTTATACAGGGTCCAGTGGAAGTAACACCTGCTTGAGTGTGGTTGGTAGGGTAATAATACGGGTGTAATAATTTATAGTTTTAATTTGAACATTTTGCCTAAAATGTCACATGCTGTGCTTGAGTGTGAAGCTATTATGTTACTGAATTGCATGCTTATGATTTTGTAATAAAAGATTTTGTAATAAAAAGTCATTATTTGTGTTGGACTTTTTGTTTATATTAATATTGTGGTTAAATACTTTCAGAATCAACTAATAACTGTCAAAATATAAAAATGTCACTGGTTTTCTTTTGTTCTGATTTGTAAAATGTGGATTTGCGCAAGTTTTTGGCAGCTAGTGATAGAGTACTACTGAGAACAAACTGCCTTTTGATGTAAAACTTCTCAATGGCACCAGTGAGAGTCTTGAGACAAATAATACAAGGCTCACTTTCCAAAATTATTTTTTGTGGTTTAGATCTATCTACTTATGTTTTTAGAACTGATAATTTTATGCATAACAACCATAACCCTGAGTGTCAAAATATTAAAGTAGAAGATGGTTTGCTTTTGACAGCAGCTTTCCTTAGTACTCGATGTCCTGGTACTGACATGTGGTTTGTTGGACACATGACAGAAAACACAGAATTAATACATAGACAGCATTTGCTGATATGTGTGGTTCACTAGAGAACCACAGGCAGAAACTGCTGCAGCTTCACACCATCCCATCAGATAATCCTTATCTAATCATAGCAGGTTAAATATGAGACTCTTTCTTATATTAACTATGAGGTTGAATATTTTCTTAAGAAACATTGATTTGCCATCAGTAGTTAGGATCAGGATGCCTTCATATTCCCCTCAGCTCCATTAAGCTTTTTACACATTTCTTCCTGACTGTAGGCCCCTGACTCCCTTGTCTCAGAGCACATCCTATAGGAAACTGCTGTTGTAAAGTCTTTCTCTGCTCCTTGCCAGTTCTACAACTCATGAATATCTTTCTCAAGGGCAGGGAGCCATTCCTTTAAAATGTAAAAATTATGAAAGGTAGCACCCCTACCTATCAGTCTGTGGGGAAGTAGGTGCTTAAGTCATAAGAAAGTGCCAATTAGCAAACTTCAAACGGTCTAATCCTGTCTCCCCTAAGGTCTTCCAGAGCTTTCCCACCTGTCACCCCATCACTTAGGAATTCTCTTGCTTTTGTTTCAGCAGAGTTGAGTTCAGCCTCTCTTCCCTATGGCAACAGTCTTGAAAATAATCTTTTTTGGACTATTTGGTTTGGTATAATCTCTCTCTGACA